CCCCCCCCCCCCCCGGGTTTATCGTGAGGTCGTTATGCAATGCCGCAGAGATTGTATTTCCATTCAATAATTTACCCATCTCTGCGGGGGACTAGCTTGACAACAGTACTAGTCTAGTCGACATCGATGTCGATTTGACTGTGTTGTCTTTTTGGCGTGCTTCACTATTCGTTACTGATTCTTGCTACTCCATTTCACAATTACCTATCAATTCCATTTGATACTAAGATACATTTCTACGACTGGTTCACTGTATTTCGTTGATCGTGCGGAACAGATAGCTATGCTATATTATTAAAAGGAAGACCGCTTTATTACAATTCTACAATTTGACCCATGTAAGGGAATCCGGAATCCGAAATCCACGAAATTTTAGGCTTTGGAATCCGGAATCCAGAACTAGTACTCTGGAATCCGGAATCCAGGCCTTGGATTCCGGAATCCGCTACTTTAAAATTCAAAGTATACACTCAAATGCTATCGCCTCGACCTAGACTGAACCGAGGTAGCCCCTCCCCCACAGTGTAATATCTCCACCAAGTAATATCTCATCGGATGCTGATTTAATTGACAGACGATTCTACTTATACTGGCAAGTATATCAAATATAATTTTCAGAGAAAAGTATCTGAAAATTAACGATATGGAATCCGGAAGAATCCGCAATACAAACGTTTTGGAGTCCGGAATCCAGACCCTTGGAATCCGTAATCCAGAGTCTCGGAATCCGGAATCCAGCGCTTGGAATCCGGAATCCACCATAAGTCCGGATTCCCTTACATGGGGCGAAATGAACTCCGAATAAACCGTTCGACTACAAGCTAGACCATTAACATGTAATGCTTAATAAACGAGCAGGAGTGTTTTATCGGGTATAAAACACGAGGCGTAGCCGAGTGGTTTTAGACCCAATAAAACACGATCTGCGAGTTTATTAAACGGCTTACAGTGTAAAAAACTCATGATGTAAGTTCTCATATTGTACCGATTTCTTTACGAAATGAACCAAGTTTGATAGAGAAGATCCAAGTTAAAATTTATGCAAATGAAGACGAATCTATATCAGATATAAAACTTCCTTCACGGTCTAGACTCTTCCACAGTCTCTCGCTCGTCCGTTCCGTTTCCACGCTTACAGACTGTAACGGTACAATGACCGAAAGGACTTATGGGTCCCGAAAACTTGGACCCAGCGTGCTTTGGGAACCAAAATACTTCGCCGCCATCTTGAAAATATTGAAACGAGAGAGACTGTGGACGAGTATTTTGGTTCCCAAAGCACGCTGGGTCCAAGTTTTTGGGACCCATAAGTCCTTTCGGTCATTGTACCGTTACAGTCTCTAAGGGTGGAGACGGAACGGACGAGCGAGAGACTGTGGAAGAGTCTACTTCACGGTCATGATTTCTATTGTGTTTCCTTCATTAATTATTAATGTATTTTTTAACATTCTTAACTAAACCGTTTAATTTTGATGTATTTTTGGTGGTAACAGCGGCCCATATTATTATGAAATCTTAAAATGATGTTCTATTTGCTATCCCTGATAAATGGTCACCCTGTGGTAAGTCAGCGGATTGGTGTACTAATGGCGTATCTTAGTGGTTAACTCACTTGCAGTTAAAAATCAATCTCAAAATTAATTTTAATCTTATGAGATTAGCTAAATTTTGTAATAATTCTTTCCTTTATTATTAATGTGTGCTGCTGTGAAGAATATCTCGGAGCAGCTTTTCGCCGAGGTTCGTCTTTGCCAAGAGCAACATGGACGCTGTAAGGTTACTCGACATTCAACTCGTTCGTATTTGGACTGACATTTGAATAATCATAAGCTTCACCTTTTTGTATTTTCTGTTCTTTCCCATAACATTCAGTGACAGAGGAGCTATTATCAGCGTAAGTAGTGTATTTTATCTACTATTATATCTATAGGGATTATCTGTTTGTTTTGAGTTGGTTGCTTAACCTCCAGAGATTTTTTTTWAACTTTTCACATTCAAACATAATAATAATATTATATAAAAGCAGACTACATTCTAAATTTGATTGGTTGAAACAAAAACACAAGTAAACTTGCTGGTTCTGCGAGACGTGGAAACATCATAAAAGTGAGACAGAAACATTCTTTGGCCAATTTTGATAACCTTTAATAATTTCTTGATTCTGTATTTTAGGCTCTACTTCGTTTTTGGTCAGCCAATACTACATGCCCTTGACCTCGTTGACAGAAGAAGTATCACTAGGCTCACCTCTCCTAGTGGTAGGATCATCCATCAGGTATGCCATATTTGTACTATAAATAATGACTTCTCTACAATAGCCTATTTGCACTGACAAGTCACGTGACCCTACCCCCTTTAAAGGCCGGTTTAGACGGTACGATTTTCGCTACAGCTATTATATACAACACGCTCACGCCATCCTACAACTCAAGTCGTAGTGTATAAATAAAGCCTACAAAGACAGACGCGAGTGTGTTGTATACAATAGTTGTAGGCGAAAATCGTACCGTCTCAACCGGCCTTAAAGTTGGCACTTAAATAAATCCCAGAAATGAAATGGGCACCTCCATACATAGACGGCAGAGGCATGGATGTTGGAGGGACTAGAGCACCCCACCCCCCCTCACCCACCCCCCTCCTCACCCAATAAGCCTTTTCTTAGTTTAAGAATCGATTCCACTGCACATGCGATTTTATCCCGAATTTCTCACCTTCTGTTGTCTAAACCTCCTTTTGTTCTTAATAAAACAAAAGAAGGTGAGAAATTTGGGATAAAATCGCATGTGCAGTGGAATTGATTCTTAACTATGAAAAGGCTTATTAAGAGTTTGGGGGACTCAGGTCCCTCACTTTTTTGAAGCAGTTTGAATTCTCGTATCCCTTATTGCTGTTCTGCCCCCATTGTGATATTAGTAGGAAGGCAAAGTTTCAGCTCATAATATGGACCAAAGGAGAAATGGAAAAAATGGATAAAATTGAGTATTTTGTTACATTATTGTCATTAGGATTTATAACATTATCTCATGTGCATTTGCATTTATCCTGATTCATCATTGCTCTCTTTTAGGTTGTTGGTAGCTCAGGACAGACATACACATGCCTGAAAGCGTCTAGTTTTTGCACATGCCCATCTTACACATATACAGGTATGGCTTGGGAGATAATAACTATAAGTGCATGAGAAAAAGTCAATTAAACCAAAGATTCTTCTGGTGGTCTTTAGTTGACAAATCAATTCTTTGAAATCAATATTTTCATCAAAGATGAAGAGCAAAAATCTTAACTTCAATAACCCACCACTCCCCCTTTCTCTCTCCCTTTTCCACTTTCCCACTCTTTTCTCCAATTTCCCTTCTGCCCCCCTCCTTACTACTCTCCATCCTCACAAAATAAAGCTGCTTTTGTTCCAATTGCCTTCATGAAAGCTCTTCGACCATTGCTTCAAGCTTACATTTGTTTTATCTAAATCATAAATATCTCGAAAGACAGCTTTATGGGTTCACCTCTTCTTTCCCCTGCTCCCCTTCCTTCTACCCCTTCCTCCTTCCCCCTACCCTCTAACTCCTACCCACTACCCCTACTTCCTCCCCCATACCTCTAACTTCTACCTCTTACCCCCTACCCTCTACATCCTACCTCTCCACCTCCTACCCCCTATTTCCTACCTCCAATCCTACCCTCGACCCCATACCCCTTATTCCCTACCCCATACCCTCTACCTCCTACATACAACCCCAACCTCCTACTTCCTACATTGAACGCCTACCCCATACTTCCTACTCCCTACCTCTTACCTCCTACCCCCTACCTCCATTAGTTCTTCAAGTATGCACCATGCATTGCGCCATTTCCTTTACAATATTTCTCAATGCAGTGTTAAAAGCCAAAACAAATTGTGAATTGAATATCAACTTTTTTGTGTTTCTAGTTCTGGTCAAGATGGAAACAATTATGGTAAACTGAACTAAATGTTTGTAATGTTTTTTTATTGAATGTGTGCAACAAATGTGGACTGTAATGGATGTCTCAGTGGTCGCGTGTTTGGTTGTGAATGAACAAGTAGTATATATAATTACGTGTGTATGACATTGCCAAGGGCGGATCCAGGGTGGGCAAAGGGGGGCTGAAGACCTTCTTCAGCAGAAAAAAAACCTGAAGAATTAATGCTTTTTTTTTTTTTKTTTTCCGTTGTGTTGACGGAAGAAACTCAATTAGCCCCCCTAAACTCAATTAGCCCCCCTAAACTCAATTAGCCCCCCCCCCCCTAAAATTTTGGCTGGATCCGCCCTTGATTGCGTGTCATTACTCATATAGAAACGTTCTTGAAAGGGCAAAAAAACGACAAGCCGGCTACTTTCACGATTTTTTTATTTAACTGAGTTTAATACTTAATACTTAAATTTTTAAGCATTTCATTTGTGCCACTGCGGCTCGAAACTTGTGGCAAAATTTTGTTGAATTGGGGTAAAGGCTAGTCCAGCCTTTATATTTCAAATAGGCATTCAATAAATTTTGATCGTGTTTGATATTTTGCTATTTGGCTCCAAAAGAACGTGTTTACAAAATATCGAGCTTAAATAGTAACGTACAGCTGTCCCTATAGCGAAAGGCCAAAAGCCGTTTTTCTGTCCTGTCCATATTCTTCGTTTACAACCACATGTATTTTGCTGGTGCTAAAGCATTTTTTGGTGCCAATGAAAAACAATCCTTATGACCATGTAGAGCTACTTATAATGCAACTCTGAGCCAAAAATTGGAGCATTAGAGAATTTCCAAAACGAGCTATGAGTGAATGAAGTTACCTATATTTTAGTGTAAATGTATGGCGAAAACTCACTGGATGATATCTAGTATCATCCAACATGGCGGACAAAATTTCAAAAAAATATTTAATGACAAAAATTGTGTATAAATCTAATTTATAAACTTGTACAACACTAAAATTGTTAGATTTGGCAAAAATGTCTTTATTCTTTTGACTCTTCAGAGACGTAATCAGCGTAAGGTGAGGATTACTTCGCACAACTGAAACAAAACAATGAAAGGATCTGAAATTTCCTAAACTTAGTCACATCATAGTTCTCCAAAACATGTCAAAGAATCGAGTTTATAGCATTCATAATTAATTTTAAGTTGTTATTTTTCTTAGTCTATGAAGTCACGTGCAAACGAAGAATATATACATATATATATATATATACATACAGCCTTTTGCAAAAATTATGGCCGCTTCCAATATATATATACAAGTATATCAAAAATATATCAAAAATTATGGGATATCTTCCACTATATATTTTTCAAGTTGTCTATCATTAGGGCTTTCTGGAAAA